GGACTATTTAAGATGTGTCATAAATCCACACGTACAAAAAAGGACAAAGTGAAAGAATGCAAAAGGGCGGTACAAACCCACTGCCATAGTTAAGAGTAAGGATGGTTCAGCCGGTGTGGCTCAGTGGCTGAGCGTCAATCCATGCACCAAGAGGTCGCCGGTTCAATTACTGGTCAGGTTGTGGGCCCGATCCCCAGTAGGGGGCGTGCAGGAGGCAACCAATCGATGTTCTCTCTCATCAATGTTTCTATTTCTCTCTCCCTCTCACTTCCTCTCTCTCAAAAATCAATAAAAATAATAATAATAAATTTATTTTTTTAAAAACAGTAAGGATGGAGTGAGATGGCCTACAATAAAAGGTGGTCATCATTTTTAGTATGAAAAGCAACCTGACGGTTGAGATTACCTGGGGAAGAGGAGACCTTCATTTCACTGGTGTTGTTTCTAACCTATCATACTACATTAACGTTAACTTTTCTCACTTTCTTATGCAAGATTTTTTGTTCATTATTTTATTACTCCTTCACTTTGATGACATCCTATAGTAGAGGTCAGTTAAGGCTAATTGTTCTAATATTTGGAAATACAGGGGCTGTTAAAATCCTTCTGTTGTATAATTCCTCCGTACAGGCTAATACGAGTTGAATCTATGAAACTATTTATAATTTCCTTATTCCTATTTCAATCACTATATATAATTGTTGCCCAGCTGAATTACGTCTTAAGTCATGTTTTCTATTTATTTTTAGTGATTTTACTCAGGAGATAAAGCATTAGTCTTGCCTCCGAGTTTCACTCTGAGATGAGAATACACTTCATGACTGGTCTTTAGGGCAGACAGGGAAGCAAGTGATGGAGAAAGTGAGCTGGGTTCTTTCATGTCACCCCACTGCGGGGGTCACTCCTGAGAGACTGCGGACATTTTAACCTAAAAAACGTAACAACAATAAACATCAGCGACACAGGCCTGGCTATGGGAACCCAGTGGAATGGAGAATATAATTTAAATCAAAATTACATGTATTCAAATATACACAGTGTTTTATACGTATAGAAAAAGTGTTGCCCGGCTGGTAAAAGCTACGAAATATGAGAATGATAAAAATATTTATCTTAGACTGAATAATATTAGCCTAGTCTTTCAATTTTGTCCTGCATCTGTAAAGAGTGTGTTTCCATGTCATTTAAAACATTATTACTATCATTATTATTATTACCCTCATCATCAGTGTCTGGGATTTAAAACACCTTTCTTAAGAGAAAAAAGTTAGGCTGAAAACTGCATCCCTACCTACTCTTTGCAATTACATGTACTCATTTGTCGCAATACCCAAGGACAAATGATGGCTGTTACGCACACTCAAAAACATTCATTAGCCGTAATTATTTTTAAGATGGATGGGTGAACTACAAATTAAACTCTTGAACTTATAAGTAAGGAAAATGAAATTACCCTTTACAACTGTAAGCAGAAAACCAATGATACTGGAATAAAGCAGAGACGCCCAGTCACACAACGAGTCATGGGCTCTGAGAGCAGATGCGAGGCTCATCTGTTTGAAGGCATTAATAATATGTGGGGATATAGTTGTCAAGGTAACGTCCCTTCTACATCTGACATGTGCGGGCACAGGACATGGAACAGAGTCCTGATTTCCTGGCGAAAGTGTGGTTATGGGATGGGTGGGATCTCACTGAAGGAAAGAACGGACGTGAGACACTTTTTCTGGGCTCTGAAGGTCTTTTGCAGTCTGACAAGAGTGTGGTTTGCAGTACAGTGATCTAGACTGTGGGGCCAGGGATGACTGTAATGGTGCTACAAATGAGGATAAAGGAAGAAACGAAGAAAATCCAACTTCAGGTGAAATGAAAAGCTGAGAAATGATACAGGGAACCCGGAGACCCACAAAGCAGCGTCTTGCCCACAAGGAGGTTAGCTGGGTAAATTGTGACAGTAATAGCAGTAGCCATGTCATCAGCAGGTTGTGTTGACATTTAAAATGTCCCAACTCGGCCTGGCCAGTGTGGCTCAGTGGTTGAGTGTTGATCCATGCACCAAGAGGTTGCCGGTCGATTCCCGGTCAGGGCACATGCCCAGGTTGGGGTCCAAATCCCTGGGGGCGGGGCACGTGGGAGGCCGCCAATCAATGTTCTCTCTCATTGATATTTCTGTCTCTCTCTCTCTCTCCCTTTCTCTAAAATCAATAAAGAAAAAATATTAATTAAAAATAAATAAATAAAATAAAATGTCCCAACTCTATCTGTCTCTCTCCACGTCAGCCTATGCACCATTATCCCTCATCAGGACGACTTCCACTGTCTGCTCCTTCCCCGGCCCCTCCATCCATACTCCTCACATCAGCAAGGGAGAAAGTGGAAAATGTAAATTAGATCATGCCCCCCCCCCCATCCCTTATAATAAAATCCCAGTTCCTCGCCAGTGCCTTAAAGGCTCCATGTTACTTGCACCTCATTCCGGAAAACGCTTTCCCTCACGCTGATTCTCTCCTCAGCCACACGGATTCTCTCCTTGCTCCCTGACTACCTGAAGCTCATTCCCACCACTTGGAACATACTCCCTCTCCGGAATTCTCTCCCTTCAGATGTCCACAGGGCTCCGTTTTCTGCTTTATCTGGCCTCTGTTCAAATTTAAGGTCCTCAGAGAGAACTCCCCTTGACCTAGAACCCCCCCAACCCAATCACTGCCTGACTCCTTATTCTGTGTTTTACTTTATTGTATTTGTCATTATCTGAAATTGTGCATGCATGTACATACATGCATATATGTGCATATTTTTCTTTTGTTTTTGTCTTATATTTAACGCTTTCATTGGCTGCTTCTTATGTCCTGTGCTGAAATGCACCCTCAGGAAGGCAGGGGACTACTTTTTGGTCTTAGTAACTGTGACATTAAATTAACTATAATTATTCCTAATTTTTTTTACTAGCTTTTCCACCTATTTTGCACTAATTTGGTATAGCCTTTTAAATAATTGTTTAATTTACTCTTCCTGCAGAGAAAAAGTATTTTAATCTAGAAAGGTTTTTAAAAATTCTGATTAGTTTGATAGTAATTTTGTAAATTAATATTTTCTGAGATTTCTCTTTCTGCCTTTTCTTTCTTTCTTTCTTTCTTTCTTTCTTTCTTTCATCCTCACCTGAGGATATTTTTCCATTTATCTTCACATAGAGTAGAACTGAAGGAGGGGAGAGAGAGAGAAACATCAATATGAGAGAGACAGACTGGTTGTCTCGCACAGGACCCCAACCAGGGCCGGGGACAAATAGCAACCGAGGGCTGACACTCTAACTGCGGAGCCCCGCCAGGGCCTGCCTTTTCTTTATAATTTTCAATCACTTTGACTTAAATGGAACCAAGACTTCAGTCTTTAAAACTTTCAAGTAGCACAGTGATCCTGGGTTTTACATATATGGGAATGTAAAAGCCAACCAATTGCCTCCAAAAAAGATCAAATCTCTTAGGTCCTTATTAAAATCATAACACATGATTGATGGCAAGAGAGTCAGGTCTGTTATAATCCAGTTTTCTGATACCACATAGTACTTCTATCCATTACAACCACCTGAAATCAAATTAAGGTCAGGATTCCTATCAGACATGATGAATGATGACTCCATGTCTATGAAGTTAAAATTCATGCCAAGGATAGAAGTTCATGTACAAGTAAACTGCAGCAGATTTCACTGAAAGATCTGAGGACTGTTTTAGCCTCTTCAGTTTTCAAGACTAGTAAGGCTATTTCCTAGACTCTGACAGATTTTAAATTGCCATACCTTCATTGCGGCCATCTTTCATTTTTTGTAATTCAAGAAATATCTATGTCAACTTCCTGACTGAGCTGCCGCATGTTATTAAAAGGAAACTCATGTACTTCTCATGTATTCTTTATTATGTCCATACCTTTAAATAAGTCAGTTGAGTGGCCACAAGATCATGATTAGATTGTCCATTACAGTGCCTTACGCGTAGAAGCTGTTCATTAAACATTTATTGAGTGAAGAAAGAATAAAGGGTAGAAACAATAAGGACATAAATGTATTAGAAATCTCAAATGTATCTTATTCAGAAATAAAACAAATGAGCTTCATCCTTTTCAGTGAAAGGTAGTTAATAAACAAGATTGGTAAGCAATAGATGATGTAATGGGGAATCTCATGAATTATGTTCTAAAACATAACACTTAAAAATGCTTGAAATGTAATTTCTGATCATTTACAATTTATCCTCATTTACAGTGTTACTGTATACTTACATATATTAAAATGTAGGAAAAGGGATCAGATAAGAGAAAAATCTCTTGAACTTCTGGTCAGTAAGTTCTAAGTTCTATAAGTAATAAGCAAAGATGCAAAGTAAAACCAATACAATTAGAAGGATTCCACTCACAGGTCTATAAATACCCAGCAAATGTATTTAGGAAATGAGCAACATTGAATACAAATATGAAGTAATCAGAGACACCAGCAGAAGAACTGGTGAGGTTGATCAAGCGTGGATTTTCTACACTTTGTCCTATTTTCCTTTGTTCTGCTACTGGCCTGTTTTTGATGAAAAGCCACTGGTTGGCACTGCCTGGAATTACAAGGAGGATTCATCGACTACCCTGGGAACAGACATAATCATTTCCAATATCATACTAAAGGACTAATGTTAAAATGAGTCCTGGAACAAATCACAAAATCTGTAATATTAAGAATGCAGGTTTAGGAATTAGTCAAGCATACACTTGAATATCGTTTCCCAGGGGGATTTCTGAAGGCAAGTCACTTCTACCCCCTTCATCTCATGTATCTTATTGGTGACATAGGGATAATAGCCATTTCACAGCTTGGTTGTCAGGCAGAGATGGAACACCTGGCCCCGACTAGAACACAGGTTCTCCATCATTATTTTTATAGTTGATATTATTTTATCTTGGCTCATCCCTGCCCTCACATCATGCAATTCAATGACAAACGGCCCAGAAACAGAACTTACCCACAAAGAGCTGACTATTGAGCTGCAAAAGGACATGCCCATCAGCAGGAGCAGGTTGGGTCTTGGGTGGGAGCTGATCCACTTGGATGGATGCTTCTTTCATGTTCCTTTCAACTGTAACACGATGCCACTGGTTGTCGTTGAAGTGAGTGGGTGACTGCACCGATATTTCCGAAGGCCCATTCCCCACATCAAACGAGAAAGTCACTACGGCCGGAGCTGGAAATGTGAGACGTGGAGATTGTTCAAGTCAGTCGACAGGACGGCGAGCCAAGTCTTCCATACACAGAACAGCTCACAGCATGGTATAAAGGGGATGCTTCGAATTTTATGGGAGGACCCAAGGACATGGGCAAAGAATCCATGTGGAATGAGGCGGTACATTTGTATTTTTGGGAAAAACAACAACAAATTTTAAGAAATTCATCCTCAAAGTTAATTTTTTAGATTGATAAGAATTAGTTATTTAGCCAGGGCAAGAAAACTAGGTAACATTTTATAAAATGATAATTTTACAGAGATTCAAAGTTTATATAAATGTTAAAGCATGCAATATACATTTGATATTAAAATACAAATAACAGTCTAAGGGGATATCAAAATAATATGGCTAGTCAATCTAATTAAGTAACTTTGTAATTAACTAAGAATTTAGTTTTATTTTCTAAATTAATTATTTCAACTTAAAATGCATCTTAAATTGGTTCTAGAGAATACAATGATTTCCCCCAAATTATCACAGTTTAATTATGAAATTATTTTCTTGCAGAAAGACTAACTTAATTTCATAGAAATTTTTTCCAAGGGACACAATGAAAATATTCAGCTGATAAAGCAGAAACATAGTACTTTAAAAATTAATTAAAGGATCTGACCCTGAATAGAACCCCACAGACTTCTCTGGAAAAAGAGACTTACAGCGTAGCTCTATCCGTATGAAATCAATAATCCCCAGGTTCTCCAAAAATACCCCGGACAAAGCTGTGGTCTTAAAAAAGAAAGAAACATCTGCACTGAGCTCTCCGTGGAAAGTAGGAAAGTGAAGGTATGAAGCCTCGGTATTGAAGGAAGCTGAATTCCAAAATGACCCTGGTTTCAAAAACAAAAGAAAATATCAAAAGGTAAGAAAACAAACTCGTGACCTAAAATGAATGACCATTACATTTCCCATTTTTAGCATTTTTACTGTTAAAATATTGGCTAATTCATACAAACCTGCTTTTCTTTTTTCTGTTAACTATGTAGTGTACAAGACATGAGCACATGATTAGTGATTTTACAAGGGTTGAAATCCTGGATCCCTTCCAACAGAGGAGAGAAATGACCACTGCAGAAATGGTCTGAATGTTATATTTGATATAAGACATGTAAGATAATAAACATTGTCAGCCTCATTTCCAATCTCTCCCAAAGTGATATGATAAAGACCCGTCAAACATTAATTAATATACTTTATTTTTTATAACTTGAAAATGTAAACACCTACATTATACCGACTAACAAAAAACCTGTTTTAAAGAAGCTCAAAGTGTTTTGTGTTCTAACACTTCTAACATACACACTCCACAGTTACACTTTTGGCTAACTGTTTTCACTAATGGGCTTTGTGATTTTCTAAACTGAGACTGGCATTCAAAATATCCTCATTTGGCCCGGCTGGTGTGGCTCAGTGGTTGAGCATTGACCCACGCACCAAGAGGTCACCAGTCCGATTCCTGGTCAGGGCACACGCCCAGATTGTGGGCTCGATCCCCAGTGGGGGGGCATGCAGGAGGCAGCCAATCAATGTTCTCTCTCATCGATGTTTCTATCTCTCTCTCCCTCTCCCTTCCTCTCTCTCTAAAAATAAAGAAAAAAAAATTTTTTAATCCTTATTTAATAAAAGATCAAGACATTACTTTCTCTGTACTGACATTCTCATGAAAATATTTTTTTAATTCAAAATCGTCTTTTACCTTGCTTCTCATAGTGAATCAGGTAAAGAGTTCTCAAAAAGTTTTAAAATGTTCCAAATAAGAAAATGTGTAAGAGGTTGGGGTATAAATGAAGAGATCTGAAAAAAAATCATGTGGACTGTGTATGTCTCACCTTCAACTTTCCAAATGTTTTTTTCCTTGTCCCTGCAACTGCCTGTCCTTTTGAACAAATATCATGGGTCTGTGTGGAAAGTACGGAAGAAACATACTGACGCCGTGGACTGAAATCCAGCTGGATGTGTGTGGTTGATGAGACCCGTTACCACGGAAAGAACTGCACACGGCTGCTTACGCCAGCAAATCCTCCGCACACCAAATACAAATACACATCTCGGGTCTTAAGCAACTGCCTCCGCTATGTGCCCGCAACACTGGACAAATGTCGATCTAAGTGGCTTCCTGGAAGAAACACCAGCAGGCCCCACTCATCTGCAGTTGCAGTACCCGTGGTCAATCGTGGCCCGGAAATACCATATAGAAAATTCTATAAATAAACAAGTCATACGTTTTAAACTGTGTGCTCTTCTGAGTACTGAGATGAAATTTCGCATCATCCCACTCTGTCCGTCCCGGGATGGGAATCTCTGCTTTGTCCGGCTTCTCCACTCTGTGGGTGCTACTCACCCCTAGACACTTAGCTGTCTCAGTTATCAGGTCAGTTACCAGACAGACAGACAGACAGACAGACTACCTTCCAATAATTTTTATGAGAGTGTATTGTTATAAGTATTCTGTGTAACTCATTACTGTTGTTAATCTGTTACTGTGCCTTCTTTATGAAGTAAACTGTATCATAGGTATGTATGGATAGGGAAAAGCATAGTATGTATAGAGTTTGGTACTATCTGTGATTTCAGGCATGTACTAGGGTCTTTGAGTGGACCCCCTGAAGATAAGGGGGGCTAACATATTGATCGTTGGAAGTTAGAAAAGAGTAATTGCAGGGGGAAAATGGTTCATTATGTTTGCAAAGAACAGAGTTAAAAATCACAAATTTAACTCAGTTTCTATTTGTTCCTTAGATTTTAATTTATTTTCTCTACATTCTGGACTAAACAGCAGCATTTACATCTACAGTCATGAATTACTTAACAAGAGGGACACGTTCTGAGGAATGTACTTAGGTGAATTTGTCCTTTTGCAAACATCACCTGTACAGACCTTGGTGGTGTAGCCTACTACACACCTCGGCTACGTGCTGCAGCCTGTCGCTCTAGGCTACACTCCTGTACACGTTAAAGTTCTGAATACTGGAGAACACTTGTGTATCTAAACAGCTAAATATAGAAAAGGTGCGGTAAAAATCAGTATAAAAGATAAAGATAAAAATAAAGGTACACCTCATAGAAAACCCTAAAGACTCCATCAACAATTTACTAGACTTAATAAATGAATTTGGCAAAGTAGCAGGATACAAAATTAATGTCAAGAAATCAATGACATTCTTATATACCAATGATGAACTCATAGAAAGAGAAACTAAAAAGACAATCCCATTTACCATCGCAGCAAAAAAATGAAGATACCTAGGGGAAAAAAATTAACCAAAGAAGTAAAGAACCTCTTCACAGAAAACTACAGGTCATTGACAAAAGAAATAGAGGAAGATATACAAAAGTGGAAACACATACCTTGTTCATGGATTGGAAGAATTAACATTATTAAAATATCCATACTACCCAAAGCAATCTATAGATTCAATACAATCCCCATCAAAATACCAATGACATACTTCACAGAACTAGAACAAACACTCCAAAAGTTTATATGGAACCAAAAAAGACCCCAAATAGCCACAGCAATCTTGAAAAAGAAGAACAAAGTAGGTGGGATCACAATACCAGATATCAGGTTATACTGCAAAGCAACTGTAATCAAAACAGCCTGGTGCTGGCACAAGAACAGGCAAATAGATCAATGGTACAGAATAGAGAACCCAGAAATTCACCCAAGACAATATGCTCAATCAATATTTGACAAAGGTGGCAAGAGCATACATTGGAGTCAAGACAGTCTCTTCAATAAATGGTGTTGGGAAAATTGGATAGCTACTTGCAAAAAAAAATGAAGCTAGAACACCAGCTTATACCATACAGGAGAATAAACTCAAAATGGATAAAAGACTTAAATGTAACTCATGAATCCATAAAAATTCTAGAATAAAATGTAGACAACAAAATCTCAGACATCATATGCAGCAGAGTTTTCACTGATACAACACCTAAGGCAAGAGAAACAAAGGAAAAAATGAACACACGGGACTACATTAAACTAAAAAAATTGTGCACAGCAAAAGAAACAATCATCAAAACAGAAAGGGATCTCACTATATGGGAGACCATAATCGCCAATGATGCATCAGATAAGGGGTTAATTTCCAAAATATATAGAGTGCTCACACAACTCAACAAAAGGAAGACAAAGAACCCAATTAAAAAATGGGCAGAGGAACTAAATAGACACCTCCCCAAACAGGACATACAAATGGCCAAGAGACATATGAAGAAATGCTCAACATCACTAATCATCAGAGAGATGCAAATTAAAACAACAATGAGATATCACCTCACACCTGTCACAATGGCCGCCATCAACAAATCATCAAACAACAAGTGTTGGCGAGGGTGTGGAGAAAAGGGGACTCTAGTACACTGCTGGTGGGAATGCAAACTGGTGCAGCCACTATGGAAAAGTTAAAAATTGAACTGCCATTTGACCCAGTGATCCCACTTCTAGGAATATACCCTAAGAAATCTGAAACACCAATCAGAAAGAATATATGTACTATATGTTCATAGCAGCACTATTTAAAATAGCTAAGATCCGGAAACAACCCAAGTGCCCATCAGTAGATGAGTGGATTAAAAAGCTGTGGTACATGTACAAAATGGAGTACTATGCAGCTGTAAGAAAGAAAGATCTCTTATCCTTTGAGATGGCATGGAAGGACCTAGAGAGTATTATGCTAAGCAAAACAAGCCAAGTAGAGAAAGACAAATATCTCATCTCATTTATTTGTGGAATATAATGAACTAAACAAACTACTGAAAAAAAATTAACCCAGAAACATAGAGGTGGGGTGCAGACTGACAAGCCTCAGAGGAGGGAGGATTTAGGGGGAAAGATATAAACCACAGAACTTATATGCATGTATGCATAACCAATGAACATAGACAACAGTGCTGGGGATGAGGTAGGGGGAAGGGGTGGAAAGTGTCAATGGGGGAAAAAATGAGAAACATCTGTAACAAAAGCAAATTAATAAATTAAAAATAATTTAAAAAATAAAATAAAATGTAAGTGAGAATAAAAAACAAATAAAGGTACACCTGCATAGGGCACCCCCACAGGGGGACGGTCAGGACTGGAAGTTGCTCCGGGTGAGTGAGCAGTGCGTGGTGATGACTGTGGAGGCGGGGACATGACTGTGCACTGCGTGGCCCCTGAGGACCCTGGCCCGCAGCCTCCCTCTTCCCCCGGACAGCCAGAGCCACGAAGCCCCAGCGCGGCCGGTGGGCGGGGTGTGGGCTGGACTGGAAGCACTGGTGAGCAGCAGCAGATCACCATGGTGATGTCAGGAGGGAGGGAGAGGTGGCCCGGGGACCAGTAGGCAGGAGAAACAAGGTGAGAGACATCGGGGACTGTCATGGCAATGCGGTTTGGCTGCTGCATTTGGAGCAGTGGTCCGATTAAGGAACTTTGTTACCACACCCCAGAGGGAAGGGGGTGGGGGTGCTCAAGGGCAAAGGGGGTCAAATAGATGGTGAGGAAAGATTCGACTTTGGGTGGTGGGCACACAATGCCATACACAGATGATGTAGCTTAGAATTGTACATTTGAGCCATTGTCACCCCAATCAATTCAATTTAAAAAGGAAAAAGAAGAAGGTCATTTAACACTGAGAGAGTGTAGAACTGAGGACTCAGGAGTTTGACTTGAAGTTTGGTTTTGGCTCCATGAACCCTACCTGGTACACAGGGCTCTCTCTGGCCCTGAACTGATGGGAGAAATAACTTACAACCTGAAAACATGTCCAGAGTCCAGGGACAGGCTGGCTCCACGCTGCCACAGAAAGTTTCCACCAAAGTGGCACTTCATACCCGTGCCGGTAGC